AGCAATGCTCTCCCACATATTTTGCTATTAGATTTTAGAAGGTGGCTTTGACTAGAAATGCTGGAAAGGTTTCTTTGGTCATTCAACAATACTACAGCTTGAACCACTGCAGTAAACACCACCTTATAACCTTTAACCCACAGTCTCAGCTGTGTTCCTGAGCATGTTCTTGACAGTCTATATAGTGTGAACCTCCTGACATTTCATGACAGGTGCAAACTCACACGAGCTGGAAATAGGACATGTGTTCTGAATTGTTCATCAAAATGTTACTTCACTGAGAAAAAAACAAAAAAAAAAAACGCTTTTCTTACTTTATTTTTATTACATTTTAAGATTATTTTGCCTACTCCATTGGCAGATAATTCAATTGACAAATTATTTTGCATGTTTTAAGGAAAAAAAATCATTGAATTTTAGCATATTATTTCTAAAAACAAACCAATATGTTTTGCTTGTCTAGAAAATGCGTCCTGGTTTAAAAAATGTTAAGAAATTTTTACTAGAAGCAAGACAAAATCTAAGAAAGAATGCGTTTTTTTATTGTTCAGCCCTGAACCTATTGTGAATGCTGCAACCTATATAAGTAAGATTATGTTCTGTAAGAATACAGGTAACTGACTTTTCACAGATTCCGAACTTCAGATCTATGTCATTATACACTCTCAGAAATAAAGTTATGTAAGCTGTCACTGGGGTGGTACCTTTTCAAAAGGCACACATAAAGGGTCCATATTGGTACCTCAAAAGTATACATTAGTACCTTAAACTTTTTAAGAGGAACATTTGTGTACTTCTTAGGTACTAATATACCCTTGAGGTATTAATACCTTTGTACATTTTGTACCATCCCAGTGACAGCTCACTTAGCTGTACTTCTGAGAATGTAAGCAAAAATAATCTTGAACTTTAAACTGTTATGAACACAATAATGATCATTTGCAGAGGCTGTAGATTAAAAGTAACAAAGTTGTAAAACATTTCAATTGCATAAACATCATCATTTTGCTGCCTAAACCCTCAGTGTATCATCAAGAGCCACTAGTAATAATCTGGTTTTGTCTGTATATGTTTTTTGTACTACTTAAGTTTTACCAGCCATTGACTTTAATGAATGACAGCTAAAACAGACATAAAGGGATATGTAACACTTTGCAAAAAGATAGTATTAGCTAGTTAATGCATATTACTAACATAAATAACAATATATATATATATATATATATATATATATATATATATATATATATATATATATATATATATATATATATATATATATATATATTGAGCCAAAAACTGAGCTTTTTGAAAAAGCTGAAGAGGTCGTTTTCATTTTAAAATGCTGCTATTCCATGTCAGTGTGAATGGGGGGAAATGGAGACATTTGAAAACGGAGGAGTGGCTGCTGATTGGGGATTTTTCCTCAATATAAAGTGGCCTAAACAAAGTTCAGTCTTGCATCCTCTCCTTGTAAGTTTCGACTGCAAGTTTGATATGAAAAACAAACTCCCATCATCTTCTCTGTATGCATATTTATAACAAGACTGACCCAATAAAATAACTGCTTCCTTTTATTTTCATTAAAAATATGAAACATACCCTCTCTTTTGGCCATTAAAAAAATATATTGTACAATAAGTTTATATAAAATAGGAAATAAAGACAAGCAATCAGTCAAATGTGCAGTTACGTTGTTTTTATTATTAATATATTAACTTATCTTGTGCTCAGCCAAAACACATTACCTGAGAACAAGTAGTAGATTCAAAAGAAAAACAAAAGTCAGGGAATATGTTGTTAGATAAAGACAAGATAAATTAAATATCACATTTAACAAATATTGCTAGATTAGATCCAGCGATAGATCCTTAATGAACAGGCTAACGTGTACAACTCTCATCGCTGCAGTGCATGCCAGAGTGTGTGGTCATGTGATGTGCGTTTTCAGCGGTATAGTGTGAACGGAGAGTTGTTCAGAAACGCTGGGTGAAATGCTAGTGTGGACGTAGATGGTTTTCATTCATTTGAAAACTAAAACGTATTAGTGTAAGTGGGGCCTTAGATGGCCTGAGTACATTTCATTAAATGTTCAATTCAAAACAATATTAAAGAGTACATTGTAAATATTAACAAATTCTCGCCTAAATTCCCTAAAATAATGACTGGAAACTACAGGATAAAAAAAAGAAAATCTGATTCTTAGCTCTATATAAATTGATTATGAATACACAAGGAGCGGGTGATGTGCATACCATTCTGTGGAAATTGTCTCCAGAAATGATCTGGCTCAGAATCCATGCGAGCTTATTAGCTTTCCGTCTCCTTTAGCTCATGCTAATGACATAAGAGTACCGCAACGCAAACTAACTGCCAAGAGAGGATTTTCTCCAATATGAAAATTTCAAAAAATCGTTTCCTTTTTTTTACACTGGAGTGTTTTGTCCTTCAAAATATGCCCTTATGGCTGCATTAGCGAGATTATCTAGACGAGGTAATGACATGTTTTTGAGCAGCCTGACTTAGCATTTGACTGCATTATGAAAGCATGTCAGGGGAAATCACAGCTCCGACGTGTTGTGATCGAGCTTGTTGAGAAGCAGTCTAAAGAAGGGAGGTGGAGGATTTGGCTACGTGGGAGAGTTTTGAGGGACCTGAAGTAATTAATCCTGGCAGTTTTAAGTGCAAGCTGGTTTCCACAGCTACATGTGAGAGGAGAGGGAGAGTCAGGCTTCCTGTCTCCCTCTTCAATTATCCTCCACAGGGAGAAAAGTAGCGAGCCTTGGCCTGCTGGAGGTGCCTGTGGAGAAAGCTGGAGACTCTCACAGAGTGGAACGACTCTTCACCTCACTGTCTCTGCAGAGTCCGGATATTATATTCATGAATAAAAGTCTCTTCTAAGAGATTTTTTTTTTTATTCTTACCGCTTGATAAGGTATGCTCTGTAAAGCAATATGACTTTAAAATATAATAAAAGCAACAGAGGCTGTTCTAGAGACTTTTCCTTAAAGGTCCCATGAAAGTAAAATAAAGTTTTTTAGATGTAAGTATCAGTATTTGGCAACACTCAAGAATAATAGTCCCTTAATTAATGTTAGTTAATGTATTTACTAACATTAAGTATGAATTTATTCATCTGAGTTTGACATATACTAATCCATTATTATAGCAAACTACTGTTATTTAAATTACTAACATTAACAAACATGAATAAATACTGTAATAAATGTATTACTAAGTTTGTTCGTGTTAGTAAGTACACTCACCGACCACTTTATTAGGTACACCTGTTCAACTGCTCAGACAGTTACATGGCAGCAGTTCTGTGGGCGCAAATGCCTTGTTGATGCCAGAGGTCAGAGGAGAATGGCCAGACTACTTCAAGCTGATAGAAGGGCAACAGTAACTCAAATAACTCCTTGTTACAACTGAGGTATGCAGAAGGGCATCTCTGAACACACAACACGCCGAACCTTACAGCACATGGGCTACAGTACCAGAAGACCACACCGGGTGCCACTCCTGTTGGCTAAGAATAGAAAACCGGGGCTACAATTTACACAGGCTCACCAACACTGGACAATATAAGATTGGAAAAACATTGTGTCAGAATTTGGCGTCAACAACATAAAGGCATGAAACCATCCTGCTTTGTATCAACAGTTCACATTGCTGGTGGTGGTGTAATGGTGTGGGAGCTATTTTCTTGACACACTTTGGGCCTCAGACTGGTTTCTTGAACATGACAATGAGTTCACTGTACTCAAGTGACCTCCACAGTCACCAGACTGTATCCAATAGAGCACCTTTGGCATGTGGTGGAACAGGAGATTCACATCATGGATGCGCAGCCAACAAATCTGCAGCAACTGTGTGATGCCATCATGTCAATATGAACCAAAATCTTCAAGGAATATTTCCAGTACCTTGTTGAATCTATGCCACGGAGGATTAAGGCAGTTCTGAAGGCAAAAGTGGGTCCAACCCAGTACTAGTAAGGTGTACCTAATAAAGTGAACAGTGAGTGTACATTGCTTAATATTAACTAATGGACCGATATTTTAAAGTATGTAAGCTAGTGTGCTCCAAAACAGTGACAAAATTAGCTTTTAGAAAAATTACAACTAATAAAAACACTTAAAGCTTGCAGTCTGTCACTCTGTCACTGCCTTAATATAGAAACTATGAAGGAGCTACCACCCTCTTTTTATGTATCAGTTGAGATTACGTCAAACATCAAATGAAGAAAAAAATGCACATTTCAAAGCACTTAAATCTTTTCTGGCCTTGAACTGCTTATTGCTCAAGTGTCTTTTTAACTATATTTGAAAACACTGTTTTTATTCAGAAATGATTTCTGTCTGCACTAGTTTCCAACATTTTCCAACATCAAAAAATGCTAAAATCCTCATACTGCACAGACAAGTACACTAAAGCATTGCAAATGACCAAACTTCATACAGTTTTTGCACTGCTTTAACAGAATGACAATTCTCAAAAAGTTTATCATACTCAAGCTGCTTGTTTTTAAAGTTATGTAAGTTTATATCATGTTTACAGTTTTTTGGTTCAGAAAAGAGAAGACACTGGTGAACATTTATAAAGAAGTGCTTGATTGAAGTGCAGTGCTTATCTTCAGCAACTCTAAAGAATTGGCATACGCACATACCTTGGATATCTACATGTACAATTGTTCACATAACTAATGTTCAAAGCACTTGGCACATTGCTAACCCCTAAGCCAATGACTAAAAATCCTTGATCATCAAACAGATTGTGACATCATATTAATACATAGCTTAAAAGCCTGATCTGTAAACTAAAGCTCTGCAGATTGAAGCCCTGTGAGGAATAACTGCCAAACACACAATGTTTTGTGTAAGTGACAATCTGTCAGGCGACCAAAGGTTGAGAAAACCTTTTGCACACTGACATGCTGGCATTTACTGGCCATTTCAGACAGAGTGAATTGTTTGAATAACAAAGTTTCTGAAACTCACAGCTTTGACACTGGTCTTCCTTAGGCCCCCAGCAGCGTCCATTACATGCTCTGTGACACCTCTGACCTGTAACCAGAAAAGAGAACACATTTCATTATTGCTAGTTACAGAACATGGCTTTACATTTGGCATCTCTAGTGTTTACCACATAAATTGTGTTTGCAAAAGCCTTTAAGTGACATCCCAAATGTTCTTCTTAAATTAGTATTTTTGTAGCCTCCTATGTTTATGTTCAGTTATTTCACTTTAAAGGCAAAAAATAAAATAAATAACAATAGTAATAAAAAAAAATAACTGTTTATTGCCATACAAGTGAAATGAGCCTAAAAAAGGATGTCCAGATGACAATGACAAATGACAATTTTAGACAAATTAAAATTTAAGACACTTTGAGGTTTTTACTTCTGAACTCTTTAGATATGATAATGAACAATGCATGTTCAACAAGTTTAATAAAAATACCATCATTATGCTTCGTTTACATTTTGTAGGTAGCTACAATCATACATGCTGTATCCAAAATCTCCACATATATCCCCTCATTAACTATTCTCTACATAAGTCCACTTAAAGGAGTGGATGAAAATGAGGGAGTGAATTTGAGCACTTAGCACACCAGAAGGTAAGCCATTTTGTTTGCTAATTGATAAATCCCCTGGACAGTTAGATTTTAATCTTCATGGTCAGACCGTATGATAGTTATTTAACACATAGCAGAGCTGTCTATTAGTAATCAAATAAAGTACTTTGATCTCTGTCATGTTACAAAGGTACTTGAACTAAACTGTATTTCATTTTGAAACTTGCACTGATATGATTCCGATGAGGACACCATCTTGTGGTCAGATAGGAAAATGAATTTGTCTTGCAAACTCTCACCGTGAATTATGGGTATTTTGTAGCTGTTAAGAGTAAATTGTTTGTGCACTCGCTATTGTGGGATTGATTAAGTGCACTTCAGATCTTCCACTATGATTTTTGACTCAAATAGAAATGGTTGCACTCTTGAATAGTGCACCACATAAAGGTATACTGTAGGTGTTCATGTCAGCCACAGAGTTGACATGTACACATATTTGAAGATCTTTGGGATATTAAAAGAAATTGGGATTGCCTCAGAAAGTGAACCACTATAACTGATTAACAATAATTTTTGATCTACTCAATCTATTTATGTTTATGTATTATTCATGCCATCTGTTTATATTATTTAAGCTAAAAGAATGGTTAACATCTTTACAACAATGTAAACATTAAGTGCAGTATTATTCATTCAAGTTGGTCAGGTTTTTATTTCTCGTTAGTGTACAGATTGGCTTACATTTTATGTTTGTGGCTCTGTATATACTGTACATGTTTGTTGTATTGTTTTTATTTGTTGAATTTTTATCCATTTTTATTTTTTATTATTACTAGTATTATTATGTTATGTTAAGTCCTGACCAGGGATGAGGGCTTCAAATTAGCTTCATCCTATGTACGCGGCATCCGTTGTCTTTGTATAACAGTGACTACATTTACATGGACATCAGTGGACTTTATTACCTTCCCTGCTATCCTACCTTTAGACAGTGAATTTGCTGGGTGATGGCGCTACAGATGTGCAGTCATGGTTATACGTGTAAAACACAGCCGCTAGCAATGTTAAAGTGTGGAATGATGGTCAAGCGCCCCCTAACTTTAGAGCATAGTGATTGGATATTTACTCGCGAATAGGAGTTTCCTCATCTCAGCTTATGAATTTACAGGCACACACAGTCAATTCGGGGAAATATAAAACGCACATAAACTATTTAAACACAAATTTGAGAAAACCGCAATTCACAAGCGCATATTGAGCCGTGGAGGTCGTACCGTACGGTACAATATTATATTGAAAACCGTGGCATTCCTAATATATATACACAGCCATAGAGGTTACATCTATATTTGTTAAAAGCATTTTTGGGATTGGCTCAAAAAAAGAGCCCCTATAAAACTATTCAAAAAATATCTTTAATATATAGTCCATTACAGACAGTATGATGGCTCAGTGGTTAGCACTGTCGCCTCACAGCAAGAAGGTTGCTGGTTTGAGTCTCAGCTGGGCCAGTTCGCATTTCTGTGTGGAGTTTGCATGTTCTCCCCGTGTTAGCGTGAGTTTTCTCCGGGTGCACCAGTTTCCCCGAAGTCATGCGCTATAGTTAAATTGAATAAACAAAATGGTCCAGTGTTTAAGTGCATGTGTATGGGTGTTTCCCAATACTGGGTTACAGCTGAAACAGCTGTGTAAAACATATGCTGGAATCCTTGGCGGTTCATTCCGCTGTGGCGACCTCTGAAATTGAGACTAAGCCGAAGAAAAATGAATGAATACAGACTATTTCAATGTTGACGCATGAAAATGTCCTGTTTATAGTCAATCTATTTCATAACTGTTAAAAAAGGCAATCCAATGATAACTTATAACTATTATTAAATTATTTATTAATATTTCAAGCTTTTCGAATGCCCAGAGGCTATCAAAATTTAAAAATGTATAACAGGAATTATGTTATCGTTTACATCCCTTTAAATGGTCTATTTGTGTTATGCATTGTTCATATTCTTTCGTAACGGTTTATGGCAGTAATTGTAATCCAGATCATTCTACTTAAGTACAGGCCTCTTTTCATCTGCACTGACCCTGCTCTGATGAAGTGGGAAGGAGTCATCACTGACTGACAGAACAATGTTCTCGTGGACTCTCCGGAGCTCTGCCCCAATCCTGCCGGCCCCAGAGGAGATGGCCCGCATGGCTCTGCTAGACTCATCTGCGCTTGCTGTTCTGCCACCCAAGCTTAATTGACTGTTGGGTAATTGCAGTGTGAGCATGGCTGACTGATGGAGTGTTGTCCTCTGTCCCTGTTCCACTTCAGTTAAGAGTAATTACACCAGTGGCTTACTCTCTTCAACTACATGGGCCAGGCACTTTTGACTATCTCCCATTTTAAACGTCACCTTTTTTTCTCCCCTACACACTCTCTCGCTTCCACTTTTCTGTTCAAGTACTTGATCATTCACTGTAACTTTTGTGAAATATGGAAAGAACAGGCGGTCCATTGCCTTTCTAAGAGCTGGGCTTAAATTAATTTCTGTCTTCATTTATTCAGCATAATACAAAATGGGATGTCTCCTAGAGTAGAGCCCTAAAGAGGACACAAGAGCAACATAAACGTGCACTTTATAATCCATGTCTTCTGAAGTCATATACCGTATGGTAATTTCGACTTTATATTGGCATATACAGATGCTCACAAGCTACTTTTTGAACTTTAAATGTAACAAAACCTTTCTGTCATTACAATTACATATACAGTTGAAGTTAGAATTATTAGCTGCATAAAAAAAAAAAAAAAAAAAAAACTATATTTTTTCCCCAATTTCTTTTTAACGGAGATCAATTTTTTCAACACATTTCTAAACATTTCTAATAAGTAAAAAAAAAATAAATATATATATATATATATATATATATATGGAGGGATGAGTACATATGGGGGGGTGAGTAATGTCGCAGACAAAAGTGAAGAGGGTTGGGAAGTCGTGAAAGAAAGTGAAGAGTGAGGTGGGGGTACTTGAAAGAAAGGGGGATCAGTAAAATGAGGTGCCGGATCAGATTTTAGAGGTGCCAGAACAATTCCAGCACAATTTAAACCCTGCATAGGCTATTTTATATACAAATCTAATAATCAGGTGCACATGGCTCCCGAATAGCATAAGAGAGAAATAGTGGATTTGTTTTTTGTTTTTTTATTTCAACAGTTTTTTTTTATTTTACTTTACCTTAACCCAATGAAAATATACAATTTAAAACAGAGTCATGACTAATAAAATTATTGTAACATTTTTAATTGTTTTGTTTGACATACATACATATTTCATGTTTCAAAAATGACTGTGTAAGTAAATAATGACAGAGATGCTTATGGTCTCTTTTTTTTTAAATTATTCACACTGACCATCAGTATCATTCAGCGTTCCTCATTACCAGTCACACTGCTGCTTCTAACCTAATCTGAAGGTTACACACATTGGAAAAAAAGTAATTGATAAACATTGACTAGAAGGGCAGGATTGCATTTTAATTGGTGAAAGCAGCATTGCTTATTCCCTGCTGCTTCAATTGAGGAGCTAATGTAAATAACCTCACTAAATAACTAAATCAAATCAATGAAGACAATCCCTCCCCCAAAATACTAAGGGATTATAGTGGATTACATTTCAATATTGATGATCTGGGCAGCGGCTAGAAAAATAGATCAAGAACATGGATTGAATGACAGGATATGATATGAGCTTGGACATACTCTCCAAATTAAAACTATAAAAACAAATAAATCTTTAGGGATTAGCTATAAAAAAATAATCACATCACTTCAATATGCTGTGTTTTTTTTTTAACAGAACAAAATATTTTAGTGGTGGTTTCCTATACATTTTTGTTTTATTCAGCATTGTATGAAAGAAACATTGCTAATAAAATCTGTGGGATCCTTCTCCAAGCTCTTTTAAATGTTCAAATAATCATATAAAAGAAATGTATCATGGTTTCCACAAAAATAAAATAAAATAAAATAAAATAAAATAAAATAAAATAAAATAAAATAAAATAAAATAAAATTTAATAAAATTAAATAAAATTAAATAAAATTAAACAATATAAAATAGAAAAGAATAGAATAGAATAGAATAGAATAAAATAATGAATGAATAAATGAAGGCACGAACGAAGAAACAAATGAAGGAATGAATGAAGAAACGAATGAAGAAACAGATGAAGGAACAAACGAAGGAACAAAGGAATGAAGAAACGATCAAACAAAGGTATGAAGGAATGAAGAAACAAACAAACGAAAGAGCGAAGGATTGAAGGAACAAACAAATGAACAACGGACGAACGGACGGACGGACAGACGAACAAACAAACAAATGAATGAACGAACAAACAAACGAACGAACAAACAAACAAACAAACAAACAACTGAAACAATTGAACAAACAAAAAAATAAATAACAAGTATTATGTTTAATAATATGCTTATTAAATAACGTAAACTTTAATGATTCAGAATAATCATCATGTTTAAATTGTAATCCATATTTTTGGTCAAATAAAGTTCCATTTTGCAAGCATAAATAAATTACTGATAAATTAAAACATTTTTAAAATCTTTCTTACCCCAAACCATTAAACAATAGTGTATGACCATATATTTTTTTTACCATAGATATATACAGTAGATATCGCATATGGACCCTGAGCATCTGTCAATAGCACCGCCACATTTGTACAGTGCTCCCATGGCAAATGTCATTCAACCGAACTTGTCAAGACTAAAGCCAATGTGAAGATGTTGGACTTTTGCGCAGCGAACAGGTGTAGTAACAAACAAGCAAAGAAAACAAAGTATAAAGGCAGAACATTTTATAAGTAAGATTTCGCTTTTTTACATTTTTGTATGTTACGAACTTTTGTGCTAAACAAGTAACATTATAGAGGATTATACAGTCACTTTCTGCATTGACCATTAATCAAAGTAGCACCAACTCGCGTATATTTATCAACGATATATGTGTATATGTGTATATATCTTTGGCTCTGGATGGCCAGTCCTCCACTGCACCTTGATCCCACATTCATTTCAAAGGAGCGCTACCCTGTACTAAAATGGCGGCTTTATTGATGCATTCCTTGCAATAGACAACAATAGCGTAGGCAACATCTAATGTAAACATTTATGACTATTTTACCATTTATTGCTCTGACTGGTCAGTACTCACAGGAGCTGCTGCTGTTGGATGGCACAACCAGGTGATCAGGGCGAGCATTCTTCACTATGTCCTGCCAGTGGATGGTATCAGCATGACACAGGAATTTGTTCTGGTCCACATACACCCCTCCATTCAGGATTTCTGTTAAAACATAGACAGCAACAATAAAACACAATTGACTAGTTAATGGCTTATGTCAGCGCACACCTGTGAGAGTAGCACTGCAGTGAAGGTGACCTCATCACTATCTTACCTTACAGTGAAAGAGCAAGGTGAGGCTCTCCTGAGAATAAAGATAATGTATAAAATAATTTGATTTCCTCACACAATGACTCTTTTTGACCCTCTAGAGTCAGTACTGGCCTACTTCCGCTGGAAGAGAACTATACAGACTTGCTGGGACAGATAAGACTGGTGATTGAAAAGGACAGTTCACTCAAAAATGAATATATTTTTATAATAATTTCAAACAATGCACTAGTAATTACAAAATAAGTCTTTAGGATGGATAAATCCTTGTTGAAGCTTAAATTTATCTTATTATGAAAAAATTCTTTAATGCTTGATGCTCTAGAGTAGTGTTTCTCAACCACATTCCTGGGGGACCACCAACACTTCTAGTCTGTTACACCCATTCCAGGTCTCTCAGTCTCTGCTAATGAGCTGATGATCTGAATCTGGTGCGTTTTATTAAGGGGACATGGAAAACTTGTAGAGCTGTTAGTCCTCCATGAACGTGGTTGAGAAACACTGCTCTATGGTGTGTATTATTTGCAATAAAATGCAGTTATTTATTTCTTTTATTTGACAAAATGAAGTAGATTTATTATTATAATGACATGTTATATAATACAATTTGTGCCCACTGCGTTTTTTCTTGCAAAAAAAAAACAAAAAAAAAAGATTTTTGGATTGAAATTAGATTATTTGCTTTATTTTAGATTTTTAGTGAAGGAGAGTCATTTTTGAACTTCAGGACAAACAAAATATAGACCATTTTGAAGGAGGTAAACAATAACAGTGGTCCTAATTCCTATTTTATGTTTTTAATTACCATAGCTCCCAAGAATCCAAAAAGGTACACGTACTGATAAATAATTTTATGGCTGCTGTTTTAACATTAAGATATGCTTAAACTGCCTCTTGTTGCAGTTATAAAATAGTTTGGCAATATGCAGGAAATGTTTATGGGCCAGTGACATTGCCACTTTGAAATGGTCTATAGACTTCTAAGACCACACAAGGGGTAAACAGACATTTCTCTCAATCAAAGTGATAACAGTGGTGCTCTTCACTCCGATACACTCACAGTTTTGCTATTAGCTGCATGCAGCAAATAAGTTCTCTAAACATGGTGCACTACATATTTTTTATGGCATAAAATAGCTTGTTTTAGAACCAGACAAAAGTTCAGTCTCTAGAGAAATACAATGAAATGAATGTGTCACTTTAAATCTAATTGAAAAAACTTAGAAAAAATATTTAAAGATAATAATGAGTGCTTAGTTCAACTGAGTCTGGTTTCTCTCAAGATTTTATCTTTCACTTTCAACAATTGGTTAAGTTTGTTCCTCGCCACTGGCTTGCTTTGTATGGGACTTGTGGAGCTGCACATCAATGGATTTGCTCTTCAGTTTTTGGCATTTCAGCAGTGAAATGTAATTCACACTGAACTGAACTAAACTAAACTTCTCTGAAAACTGGACTGACACTGTTTCAATTTACTAGAACTTCTATGTTAAGCTGCTTTGACAATCTACGTTGTAAAAGTGATATAGAAATAAAGATAAATTGAATTGAATCACAAAGCTACTCTATGATATGCATATTTAAAAACGTTTTTGGAATTTATGGTAACATCAATAATGGTTAACATACATATTTTCATTGCACAACCTATTATTTATGATAAACCAAAAACAAACAAACAGGTCATTTAAAAATATTTTTCACACTATTTTGAAAATAATTTATATTTTTACAGTAGATATTTTTTTAAATATGTCCTAAAATTGCACTATGAAGCTTATGCTTAATCATAGCAATTTTGTAAATATATCTATAAATACACAACAAACCTTATACTACATTACATGATACATTTAATGATAATGATTTGATTATAATTATAAATGCATTTATAATAGTGCTATTAATATGTATTAGTGATGCATTTCAGTTTTCAAAATACATGTTCATATCACATTATACACTAATTTATAAGTACTAATTACTCAGTCATGACTGCATCCATAAAGGTTCAATCTGCATTGTTAAAACGTTACAGACTCCTTAGAAAGTTCACACAGATTTTGTTATGTCAAATGATTGAATGATTAAACTTATTGTGGGTCATAATACAGTTACTAATATTTATAAATGCACACTGATGTCTTTAAATGGGACCTATTCTGCCCCTTTTTACGAGTTGTAAAATAAGTCTCTGATGTCCCTAGAGTGTGTATGTGTGTATGTAACTCTTTGAAACTGCCCCTTTTAGGCTTTGATCCTAAATGTGCTGTTTTGGTGACTGTTGCTTTACATTCAAATGAGATTGTGCTCCAAGCCTACTTTTCAAAAGAACGTGGATCTACAAATGCCTATGTGTCAGCATAATGGCATATTCAAAAACAATACTATCGTCCTTTGCCACTGAGGAAGAGATCGTCACTAATGGGCGAAGCTTTCCCTCTCTGATAGCATGTACAAATGAAGAATGTCAAGCAAAGTCTTTTTGCAAACTGTTTTTATGAAGTGTGATCAAAAAATATATAAAATTAATACATTTTGTCAGCGCAATAGCCTAGCGGTTAGAACACTGACATATGGTGCAGTAGGACTTCAGGGCGTGCAAGTTTGAATCCCGAATCGTGGACATTTCCCGTCCCTGCCCTAAAATATATAACCTAAAGTGCTCTATTTTTACTAAAGCTCTATTTTTGCGAAGATTAAAGGGTCATTTGATTATTATTAGTTTTATACCACCTGTGTTCTGTAGTACAAACACTTCGTCATGTTACGATAGTGCTGTAAATATGATAATTTTGCTAATATTTGATTGAAATAGTCTCATTTAATAGATTTTCCTCGTATGCATATCAAGTGTTATTAAGTGGTACATGTTAAAGTGAATGTGAATACAGTATATACATACTTCCCCCCTTCTTTGTTGTAGTTTTACAAAACAAACAGAAAGATATTAAGAACAATTGCCAGTCACTATCTGTTAAACTTTTGGTTAAGCCGCAATTGATTGGAACACATTAATAATTAATATGACTATTATTAAATTGTAATATTTTAATAGCAATTTAAACTACCCATTCAATATGTAAAACAAGAAACAAAAAGAAGCTTTGACTGCATGTACTCTGGGGGAAGGTGTCTGAGTGCATCAATTACATCAGATTTCCACTTCTTTCTTGTGCTTGAATGTTAAAATGGCCCTCCTATGAATTGCCAGTCACTGATGTGGCCCCCCACCAACTTAAGTTTGAGACCCCTGCTTTAAGCAATAAATATTATTAAAACTATTAGAAAATGGTAGCGATGACTGTCATTAAAGTAAAATTCAATGTTTGGTGGGTCTTTTAATAAATTTGATAAATAATTATAAACAGTTATAATTTGTTATATGCAAGAGCTTCATAGAAAAGAAACATTTTTAATGAGATATATTAACTTAATCAAATAGCAGTACTAGTGATATTTAATAGATATTTAATTCCATCTCTAATACACTGTAAATGTATTTCAAAATCCGTTCACACTTTATTTTGATGGTCCATTTGTTGACTTTAAGTTACATCGCATCTACATGCCAACTAATTCTCATTAGATTATTACTAGACTATTAGGTTGGGGTTAGGTTTAGTATAAGTTGACATGTACTTGCAAAGTTTCTTATTGTTAGTTAAATGTCTGTTGCAGGAGCAGTGTCAAAAGATATTAAGCAGACAGTCATACTCAAATGGACCAAAAATAAAGTGTTCCCTTTTATGATATAAACTAATAAGTCAGAGACAGATGTACTACAATGCAATGCTGAAAAAACAGAACTTACATTTTCGGTCAAACTTTCCCTTTTACAAAGAGGCCACACAAATGTCCCTCTCATTGTTATTAATAACCCTGTTTTTGTTTTGATTCTCTTTTCATTGCATTTCCCCTCATTTCCCTCAGCTCCTCTGAGAGATGTCTACTCCCACCAGACGCAAACACAGAGAAGGAAATGATTACATTCCCCGACAGTGTCAGAATCAGGATCCGTCCTGGATTTGGGGCTCTGACATTCTGGACAGCCATGCTAACAGGTTTGTAATTTCATATTTCATCTGCAGAGAGACGCCTCTCAATCCCTCGTCCTAATATGCATCATACTGTCCCACACGGATCAGCGGATTTGGAAAGAAATCAATCTGTTGTTCCCTCCCAGTGCGTTCACATGCGAGACGTCTCTGTTTTGAGCATGCCGGACCACAATGAACATTATGATCTTAACGTGTCTGGAGTAATCCTCACTTGCGTGAAAAAAAAAAAAAAAAAAAAAAAAACTGGAGAGCTTATAACAGATTTGCATTATTTACTGCAGTGGATTTCTCTTCATGGCTACGGGAGATTAGCCGTGTGGCGGTTGAACAGATGAGACATATTCATAACCACGGGCCATCTGAAACTGATAATAGCCTAACAAAAGCTTGATTAAACAGTACTCTATGGATGATCGGAGACCGTGTTATTGTGTATTTCCCCTATCTCTGCAGGGCATTGAAAAAAACCTGTCGCTCAATGGATAAATTAATTTGAGCTTTCTGACATGCTGGGAGGGCTAGCATCAGAAAAAACAAATAAAGCAATGGTAGAACTCAGCAGGAGTCTCAGACGGCCAGACTGTCGCTCTCTCTCTCTACAGACGATTGCTCTCCAGCTTCACTGAACCTTAGCATGTACATCAGAACACCTGAGGGAGGAGAGGCCACAACTGAAGACTTCACACGCTCAGTCAGCACTTAATATACAACTATAACATGCAACATTGATTACAGCAAAGACGACTGAACACAAAAGCAGATGTTGACAAACATGCATCATGTAAATTTGACAGTTAAAGATTCTTGAATCAGTTTATCTAATTAGTAACA